GATCTCACACATAATATCTCTATAATATGAGAGAGCTATCTCTCATTGCATGAGATTAATAAAACAAAGAATAATAACTGTATTTTATTTCCATTCATGAATGCAGAATCCATACGCAATGTAAAGGTTTACTGCAAAGCGCAAATAACAATCACAGTGCCACATGGAAGTATGCTCAGCCGCTTTTGAGGACTGCCAGAGTCACCTGATCTGTCCACCTTTTACCGACAGCGGGAGCACACCAACTGTGGCAATCGGTGTGAGATTATTGTTAATTTATTACTTATTTACATTAATTACGTAATTTTATTTATTTTAATTAAAGTGAATAGATAAGCACAAGTATACTCATTTAAAAATATAATTTAAATAATCATTACTGTTAATAAATAATTAAAAAAAGTTTGCATTTGAGATTTAACATGACACAACAAAATTTCTTACACACACAACATTTTGAGGAGTCCTAACTTTTTGAAGAAAAAAAAAAAACTACGACACGCAAAACAAATCTCTATAACATTATCCAATTATTTTTTTTACAACATTAACTTTTATAAAACCCTAATTAAAAATACAAGAATACCCTCACACGGAATCACAAAACGCAAACTGGGAATGGATCAAACCCATTTATAACAGCAAAAAGCAAAAGGGAAGATCAAATTGGAAAACGTCATTTTCATTACAACAAAAAAACAAAGATAGTCATAAATCAATCCTCAATAGTAACACATTTATGGGCCAAGGGTCGTTAGATATGGATGAACGAAAATGCTTGTTGTTCCGTAAGATCAACCTTCTATGCCACTTTCATTTGCTTTTTTATTTTTATTGAATAATAAACATGTATGATCAATTCGTCCGCAGCTGTTTAATTTATGAAATAGGTTTCGTTAACTTTCATTTACTTTATTTTATTTTATTTTTTCAGAGCTTGGTCACTTGCTCGCAACGGATGTGGATGGAGACAATAGGAGCGGGCTAAAACTTCGAAACGAAGAAATAACATAATTAAAGAAAACTTTACTTTAATTAGCCTCAACAGGGAAATACCGAATGATGCTACGAATTTATGTTAAAAAATTATTGATGTTGATCTGTAAAAATATAGATATAGATGTAGGAATGGAAAAATATGTATTTTGTTTTATGTATGTTTCATGTTAATTGAGCACTAGCCAAATTCAAAAGAATTTATCCTAAAATATATGCAATCCAGCCAATCATATTGTAGGTCTCAATTGCCAATTCAATTTTTATTGTGCTTTATAGAAACTCTTGAACATTTAAAAGAAAAGAAAAATTGATGTGCTTGCTCGAGACGTGAAATGTAATTTAAAAACGTAAGTACGTAGTTTCATATATTTCTAGAGTTGCTCTTCTTTTAAGAGTTCTAAATCAATTTATGCGTGGATTTACTCATTTACATTGTAGATGCTTTCCCAAAAAGGAACTTTTTCACACTTTGCAAAAGCCAAAAGGCCCAAAAATCCTTTTTTTCAAAAAAAAAAAAAAAAACAATGAAATTATTACTATTTTTTCTTTAAAAAAAAAGACAAAAAATGGGTGTTGTGGTTTATTAGTAAAATAAACCTATATATCAAAAAAAATTTCTGAAACAAGTTAGTTACATATCATACTAATAAACCTATATATCAAAAATGTTTTCTGAAACAAGTTAGTTACATATCATTACTTTTTTTTCTAATTTTTAGAAACTGGATTTTTCTAAATTTTTTGTTGCATTACTTTTTTTAAAAAAAAATCTTTAAATTTTCTACAGTGGATAAATTATTTATATTCATTCTCAAAATGACGTCGTTTTGAGTTGAAAGATTAAAAAGTTATAATGAGAATGGCTATTAAAACCTTAAAATAAAATAATTTGATGAAAATACATTAATTTCCGTTACAAACAACATTATTTTGAGCTTAATATAGATAATTTATTAAAAAATAAATAAACCCATAAAAAAATCACATAATAAGTCTGACTCAAGATAAAAATATGTAGTTTCAACTTTGAAAAGAAAAAAAAGATAAAAATATGTAACATATCACTTAATATTATTTTTTTAAAATTTCTATAAATTATCGATAGGAGTTTGAATTTCGGCAAAGCATGCAAAAGAATTGTTCAATTAATGCTGAGTGAATAAGTATTTTCATACTAATGTATTCAAATATGCCGTTGATCAATACAAAATCATTCTCATATCATTGGAATTCGTTACTTTCAGCTGCATCGGCAAGTCCTGCACCATTTTCGTGCATCACTTGTGTCCACGTCAGCCTCTGTAGCACTGAACACTATTTAGATAACAAAATAATATTATTCCGTTTTCAGGGATAGGATATTATGACACACAAATAATGTTACGCACAATGTTACGACCACATCTTAATCGTTGATTTTCGTCAATCAACGGTTATCATTTTTCAAATCAAACTTATTAATTAATTATTAATTCGCAATAAATGATAACCGTTGATTGGCGGAAATCAACAGTTAAGATGTGGTCGTAACATTGTGCGTAACATTATTTGTGTGTCATAATATCCTATCCCTTATTTTCATACTTAAAATGTGTATAAGGAAGCCATAAAGTGACAAACTAAAATCTACAAATTATTGTTCATATTTATTTGTATATTTATATAAAAATAATTATCGCTACATAAAGTGTTTTCTTCTCAATATAACATAAAATTGCCATGAAGTTTTTGCGGTTTTAATTGGTGTAGTTCGAATCAAAGTTATTTTCTCGTAAATAAGCTACTTTTCTATATTATATATATATATATATATATATATATATATAAAAGAGGGTCTCCAATTGCAATAGCTGACGCGGGAAAGGTCGGCGAATTCCACCGACACATTTTTTTTATTTATTTATGGGTTATGTTTATCTCATTTTACATGAGATAAACATCTCTCCTACACACAAAAAGAGGTTGGGTCCCACCACTTTTTTTTTCTCTCTCCTCTTACATGTGGGTCCCACTTATACTTTTGTTTCTATAACATAAGGTAATTCTTTTCCTACAACATAAGAAAAATATATCCCTTTATTTATTCATTCATTCATTATATTATGAAATCATCCTATTAAAATCGGGTATGTTTTTCTCCTCGTGATGGAAAAAGATAGCTACAAATTTCCGCCGGTTTTTTTTTTTCTTTTTATTGGGTAGATCCCACTTATTTTTGTTTCAAAAGGAGACCATACCATACTTATCTCTCCTAACAAGAAACATATTGGCCATTAAAATAAAATAAAAAACAAAGACAATGCTGCCAGTAAATTTGAGGAAAAAGGTGATGGCTGCTGGATTTAGAGAGAGAAAAAGAATGAGTGAATGTGGACTGATCGCAGTCGTTTTCCCACAAAGCACGGCCAAAGTCTCTCAATTTTATGCTGACTTAACGATACCAATATCTCTAATTACGGCTTGATTCTCCGTTCCCAAACTGTCTCCCCGTACCACGAAAATGAATGAACCCTCACGAAAATGAAAGTATCATCCCAATTCTACGCATCAATAGTTTCTAGATTTCCCTTCCGGACGCATAATACACTTTGCTACTTGCCTACTTCCATATTTATCCGTACGGAGAACCCTTTTCCTTTTTTTTAAGTTAAATATTTTTGGTATGTATAATATATAGTATGCATGTGGATAATTTGGTAATAAAAAAATAAGAGATTAATATTTCTCATTTTATAAGAAATAATTTTATTTCTTTTATATAAACAAAAGTGAAGAGAGTCATATGAAAAGAAGAAAATAAAAATAAAATATAAATTTAACACATTTTTATAAGCTATAATATAGGAAAGAATAAACTCATAAACAAAATACTAATGTCATGTACCACCTTTTTTATTTTTTTAAAATAATTAACTTTAAACTCTTCGTCCATCAAAATGTTACTCATCAAATAAAGAATGAAACATATTGGCAAACGTTATTCCAATTATTAATAAGGATTTTGAAAATTGTTTATCTCATTTAACATGAGATAAAATTATTTTTCTATACTCACACGTACATAAAAAAGAAAATAGAATAGAAAAGAGAAAAAAAATATAAATAGATTTCTCCACTCAATATATGTATAAGAAAATTATTTCATCTCATATTAAATAAGAAAACAATTTCCCATATTAATATAGGTAAAGGAAAAATAACAATTGGCGCAAATGGGTATTCATTGAGCGGATTCCAAGTGAAATGGGTTAGAGTTAGAGTGTGTTTGGATTGCATTTTACAAAAAGTTATTTTTATGCTCGACTTATTTTAAAATTGTTTTTTTATAAAAGTTAAAACTTTTAAAAAATTTTAAAAAATATTATTTTTTGAAAAAAAAATTAGCTTTTAACTTTTGTTTTTTAAGAAGCTAAAATTTTTAGTTTATGAAAAAAATAAATTTTTGATTTTTTTTTTATGACTTATGTTTTTTTTAAAAATAATATCTAAATGCACGTTAAAATAAAAGTACTTTTTTTGGGAAAAAAAAGGTATCTTCGAGCTGGTGACCTAAAGCGAAAAGTCCATCCGTTGTACCGTAACAGGACGCGAGTGATTAGCTTAGCCACAATGTCAAAAATCGGTGGCGAACTCCAACGCGTGCGAGAGCCGAGAGGTCTAATTTCAACGATCCCCACTACAGGTCATCAAATTTGAGATTATAAGCTGTATTCTCTCCTTCGACAGTTCAAAGTAAACAAACACCTCCTTCTTTCTTTGTCTTTACGTGTTTAGGTGTTGTGGATAAGATTCAATCTTCATGAACCGTTCCACCATTCCTCTCCTTTTCCCATCTATTATCTTATTTTATTTTATCATCATAAATATATATAATCCGTGTCCTTAATTAATGTAATTGAGAAACATCCTTTGTGTTTCTTTATTTATTTCTTTCGAAAATTTAAAAATCATTTTCCCAAGCGCCGCGACTTTCAAATCCCTCGTTCTTCATGCCCCCCTATTGCTCCCAGTCCACACGTCTTTCTTCTTTCAAATTTCACAAACCACAACCCTTCTCATTCCATATAAATACCCTTCTCTCTTCACAACTCCACAGCATAACCGCAACTCTATCCTCTCATTGAAAACAAAAAAAAACATTATTCTAATTTTCTCCGAAGATGGTTGATTTACATTGGAAATCAAAGATGCTAAGTTCTGACATGTCTTCCAAAACTCCCAAAATCTCTCTCTCCGACAAACCCTCACCACGCAGCAGCTCCCTACCCTCTTTGCAACTACCCTTCCACACCGCCGATATCTCCGCCGCCGTGCCTCCGCTTTGCGCCGCATACGACCAATATCTCCACCTCCCGGAGCTCAGAAAACTTTGGAACTCAAGGGATTTCCCCAACTGGAGCAACGAACCAATCATAAAACCAGCCTTGCAAGCTCTCGAGATCACGTTCCGCTTCCTCTCAACTGTTTTCTCCGACATCAGACCCTACGCGAACCGCAGAGAATGGAACCGTAGGGTAGAGTCCCTCGCCACGTCTCAAATCGAGATAATCGCTCTGCTCTGCGAGGACGAGGAACAAAACCCCGAGACACGTGGCACAGCCCCAACCGCTGATCTCAGCATCAGCGACTGCCAGAGCAGAAGCTATAGCGAAACAAGCATGCTACCACGGCTTGCCACGTGGTACAAATCCAAGGACGTAGCGCAGAGGATCCTTCTCTCCGTGGAATGCCAAATGAGGAGATGCTTCTACACGTTAGGTTTGGGAGAACCGAACCTCGCTGGGAAACCGAGCCTCCGATACGACGCCGTGTGCAAGCCGAACGATGTTCACGCGCTGAAGACGACGCCGTTCGACGATCGCGTCGAGAACTACGAGAACCACGCGTTGCACGCGACGCACCAGATCGGGGAGTCGTGGATCCACGCGTCGCGGAAGCTTCTGGAAAGAATCATGGAAGCGATCGAAGGGAGAAGGTTCGAGAAGGCTGCTGAGGATTGTTACGCTGTGGAGCGGATCTGGAAGCTTCTTGCGGAGGTGGAGGACGTTCACCTGATGATGGACCCTGGCGATTTTTTGAAACTGAAGAACCAGTTGTCGGTGAGGTCGTCGTGCGGCGAAACGTCGGCGTTTTGTTTCCGGTCGAAGGAGCTGGTGGAGGTGACTAAGCTGTGCAGGGATCTGAGGCAAAGAGTGCCGGAGATATTGGAGGTGGAGGTGGATCCCAAGGGTGGGCCAAGGATTCAAGAGGCGGCGATGAAGCTGTACGTGGTGGAGAAGACGAGTGAGTTCGAGAAGGTTCACCTGCTTCAGGCTATGCAAGCGATTGAGGCGGCGATGAAGAGGTTCTTCTACGCGTATAAGCAGGTTTTGACGGTGGTAATGGGAAGCTCCGAGGCTAATGGGAACCGAGTTGGGTTGAGTTGCGACGGTGGTGACTCGTTGACTCAGATATTCATGGAACCTACTTATTTTCCAAGTTTGGATGCGGCAAAGACTTTCCTTGGGTACTTTTGGGATAACGATCATAAATGGGTTTAAAAAAAAAATGGTGACACTTACACTTTGGGCATTTTACTGCGTAATTCATTTTAGATTGATAGTGATATATGTTAAAAACAGAGACGAAAAAGAAAAAAAAGAAAAAAAAGATGTAATCAAAGAAATTCTTTTCTTTTTTAAATTTGAAATGGATAAAATTTTGTAATGGTTGTTGAATGTTCCTGTCTTTGTAAAATATATGACAAATTCTTTTTATACAAATGACTTCATTATCGTCTTTTCTCGTTACGACTTCCTATCAATTTCCTTGGAATGAAATATAAAAGTATTTATGACTAAGAACATTACAACGCTTAAAGATGGATATGCTTTGGAATATCTTTTATAGATTTGGTCGCACAAACCAATTGATAAAGTCATTTGTGTAATAATACAGCTTCTTGTTCTACTTGAAATAATAGTCGCCAGTACTAAGGCTGCGTTTGTATGGAGTTTTTAATAAAGTCATTTTTATCATTTTCTTATTTTAAAAGTACTTTCTATAAAAATTACGGCTATTTAGATTTTTTAAAAATAATTGATTTTTGAAAAAAATATTTGGCTTTTGACTTCTGCTTTTTTTAAAAGTTAAAGTTTTTAGCTTTTGAAAAAAGTAAGTTCTAAACAGACTTCTTTCGAAAAGGACTTTTTTTTCTTAAAAAAAGCAGCTTTTGAATAAAAAAAAGTCCATCCAAACGTGCTCTAAGTCTTGCGACTCCTTTCCTAATTTTTTATTTATTTCACGAATCACAAGGATGTATTTATTTGGTAGAAGAAAAAAAAATTATCTGGAATGTAGTGATTTTTTTTTTCAAGTAAATTACAAAAATATGTTTGGTAGGTCTAAATTTTTTTAGAAATTTAATTCTATTGATACTATGAGAAAATAAAAATGTCATGTATCAGATGATATTTTCGTTTAAGAATATCATATATAAAATGAAATATGAAAAACAAATTCCTAAGATTATTTTTAATTTTTTCATATCAAACGGTTGAAAATAAATTTATCTCATCTCACTTTTAAAAATTTCTAAAAAAAATCTCCGTACCAAACTTTCAGTATGTATTTTACAAAGGGAAAGATATTGTAACAATCAAGTTATGTTACAATCAATCTCACCGTTAGATTGATTATGTTGATCCAATGATTATATTTATTTTCATCTTTGTATGGTTATGATTCCTCATATTTAAAGTGAAAGCATTAAATATGAAAAATCATAACAATATAAAGATGAAAATAAATATAAAGTATTAAATTTGAGAAATCATAACCATACAAAGATGGAAATAAATATAACCGTTGGATCAACATAATTGATCTAACGGTGAGATTGATTGATAGTAACTTGATAATAACATAACTTGGTTGTTACAATATCCTTCTCCATTTTACAATATGAATTAAACGTGCAAGATGGTAATTAATTAAGGGATTCTTCTAGTCTCTCGAAATTCTTGGCGGTTAAACTGAATAATATGTTTATCGATCTTGCATTGATTACAGAATGTCCTGCGTATTAAGATGACAACGTGGCTCCTAGTACATAATTATTGGAGTTCCACTCTATTCTTTCGGTCTAATTTATTCTTGGTTCAATAAAATTTTGTTGTTGATGAAAAAGAAATAGGTCATAATGTTGATTAGAATCAGTAAAGGGCTGAAGGCCATCTAGAACACCACATACCCACCCCCAAAAAACAATGCTATGCAGACCTACCCACCTTCTAAAGAAACAGGTAGGAAATTAAGCCAGGGTTTTTCAATACTAGTCAAATATGGCACTAGAAGCATACCTTGGACTTTTACAAAGAAGCGTATATATTTTGAGATTCTATATATATTTAGGGAAGAGTATTTATCTTTTTAAATGATATAATTTGTGTCATTTTACTCTCACAAAGAGATGGAACTCACATTTTTATTTTTTTATGTCCACTCTCTCTTACATGATTTATCTCTTTCTCTCATTAAAATGATACAACTTTACATCCTTTAGAATGATACACACTTTTTCCATATATTCAAACCTTCGTAGATAAAGTTTTTCTACTAATTAAGTAAACAAAATCTATTACAAAAGTAGCCAATAGAAAGAAAATACATTTTATATGAACGCAAATAATATTCTTAAAGCATTTATATTTGGGCTCATGATATAGGAGAGGGCATATCTTATGCTAAGACACAAAGTGATAGGGTTCACCACTAAAAAGAAAAAAGAAAAAAAAAATAACAACACAATTATTGAAACGTTTATGACAATAAGATAATAGTCTCCTACAACATGAGACTATTATTTCCCTTTATATTTTATACAAAACTAAACAACTAAAATAATAAGTAATTAAGGCATAATATTACTTACACTATTTAATGCAAATTTTCTACATTCAAATGGTCTAGAATGTGACTTTTGCTACGGCGCATAATTGTAATTGTGTCTCTACAATGTTATTGGTTGCTCCCCTTTCCTCCTAATATATTGTCTGACATTCAAGCAAATCCAACTCAAAAAAAATCTAGTAGGAAAGAGAAATATTCGAACGGGGCAACAAAGTTCTTTCTAGTTGATCTTCAGCACATTCCAGATCAATATTTAAAAAATGAATTTGATTTCAAGCATTGTGAATTGTGAAATAATAAACCAGGCATCTCTATTTTTATTTTATTAAAAAAAAATGCTTCTTTGCTTGATACTTCTGGAATTGAATTTTATGGTAGTGATTTGGATGGTGCATTTTCAGATACAAAATTGTTTTCATGTGATATTTAATAATTTATATTATAAATATAATTTGAAAAACTGTAATTTATTAGATTTTGAAAGTTTCAATTATACTTCAAAATAAATATTTTATAATATCTAAACCAATTTAAAGTTTTAAAATATTAAAAATCAAAAATTTAATCAAACCTCACGTGTTATCCTGTCTGCTAACAAAAACCCTCCCATGGCATTCATCTTCCGTGATACATACTTATTTCTTTAACAATGTCATGTTAAAAATAAAATGGAATTATGGCAAAAAAAATTAATTTATTGCTTTTTTAATAAAAAATTACGAATAAGTAATCGTTTTGAAATTAATTACGAAAATATAGCAGTTAAACATGCCCCATAGGGGCATGACCGGTTGGAGAGAGACACGCCCAATGTTGGGCGTGACGAGGAGAGAGACACGCTCAATGTTGGGCGTGTTTCACCAGGTGCTGTCACGTGGCACAAAAGTCAACAGTTTGACCGTAAAACTTTGGAAGTCCATAACTTTTGACTCGGGTATCCGAATTAGGTAATTTTTTTTGAATGCACATAACTTTTCGAGATCTACGTAATGACACCTCATTTGGCATATTTTGTCTCTCACAAAAAAATTGAATTTACAATAATGATATCATAAGAACGTTTAAACAAAAATTAACAGAAAACCACTGTTATGATTAGAAACATTCATAATAAAGATCCTTATGATTATGGTAAGTTATGATAAGGTTAATTATGTATGTTATTGAGATATATATTAAAATTTTGAATGAAGAATTTTATGAAATTTATAATTAATAAAAGTTAACATCTGTCGGTGACAGAATATCGAATAATTTATATTAAAAAGTTAAGTGAGTGCTTTTCGTTTTATTTTGATTTTTAAATTTTTGTTCATGATTATAAAAATGTTAGATTATTTTTAGTAATAATTATAAGGTAACAAAGTCATGTCATTTTTAATAATTATGGTATCATTGTTGTAAATTCAATTTTTTTGTGAGAGACAAAATAGGTCAAATTAGGTGTCATTACGTAGATCTGGAAAAGTTATGTGGATTCAAAAAAAAAATTACTTAATTCGGATATCCGAGTCAAAAGTTATGGACTTCCAAAGTTTTACGGTCAAACTGTTGGCTTTTGTGCCACGTGGCAGCACCTGGTGAAACACGTCTAACATTGGGCGTGTCTCTCTCCAACCGGTCACGCCCCTATGGGGCATGTTTAACTGCTATATTTTCGTAATTAATTTCAAAACGATTATTTATTCGTAATTTTTTATTAAAAAGATAATAAATTAATTTTTTTCCCCATCTCTATTATACAACTCTATTGAATTTTAACCAAATCCAAAGAACTATGACTTGTCGTTTCGTTTTATTCATCCTGACCAACCTTCTGTACATGAAATATATATATATATATATATATATATATATATATATATATATATATAGTGGCGGATCCAGGAAAATAACGAAGGGTGGCAACTTAATAAGGTCTAATCTTGAACGCGATTTACGAGCAGCTGCCAGTTGACTGGGTCTGGTTTAGATCTAGATCTATATTAGGTTTGGATACTGAAGGTGGAGGAGAAAAAAAAAAACTCACAGGAAAATAAATTAGAAGGAGAAAAATTAAAGGTGTAGGATATTGTAACAACAACTAGGGCTATTACCAATCAATTTCACCGTTAGATCGATTATGTTAATCCAACGGTTATATTTATTTTCATCTTATAGGGTTATGATCCCCATATTTAATATAAAAGCATTAAATATAGGAAATCATAACCATACAAATGTGAAAATAAATATAAAGTATTAAATATGGGAAATCATAAGCATACAAAGATGAAAATAAAAATAACCGTTGGATTCGCATAATCGATCTAACGGTAAAATTGATTGGTAGTAACCCTAATTGGTTGTTATAATATCCAACCCCAAAATTGAATTGGAAAAACTTGAATTTAAAAAAAAATTATATTTTTACTTCATATTTAAGGGTGGGCACTTGCCCCCCTTCTCCCCTAACTGGATCCGTCTATATATATATATATCAAAGCCCAAAACTTGTGCTTATATATAGTACCTTCTATTAATGCCCATTTTCTCTTAATATTCCTTGTACGGTAGGTCATCTTCTAGCTACTTCCAAAGTCCAAACACATCACTTTTAACTTTATTATTTTTATACTTTTTGGAGTGACAATTTGTGGAAGCGCAAATGATGAAAATTAAAGATTTGGAATGACGACTTACGTATGTAAAGTTAGACACTAAATTCGAAGAAGGGATGAAATCAAAGGACACAATTGATAACGAAGAAGAGGACGTCAATC